CATCGACTCACTTTTCTACTAGCATACATTTTACATCACTATTAGGACAGTCTCTCCCACACCCAATGCCTCCATTAATGAAATTTCAATTGTTATTTTACGCGTAGTACTGGCAGTACAGTTGCACTCAAAGGAACATACCACAATAGCAGTAAACAGTTGGTACTCCTTCTTTGTACTACTAGATTTGAATATTTCATTTCAGATGATGACTCACATAACAAAACAGCTTGCTTTCAAAAATCAACATCTCTATGGAGGAGGAGGAGGAGGAGGAGTGGCTTTTTCATATTAATACATTATTATTGATAGTACTAGTAGTACTAGTAACATGCAAGGAGAATCAGTTCTGAAAACTTTGCACTTGAGGATAATTATAGATTCTAAAAACCTGGTGTGCACAAGAAGAACCACCACTACTAGTAGTCCTGGCTTCCAAATCATCAAACTACTATCCTGTCAGCAACATGGGAAATGGTGTTTTAATATTATGGGATAGGTTGAAATTTGCAAATCCAAATGAGGTGTATTCTTGTTCTGGCTGCAGTCATGTTGAATTTGTACTGCTGTTGTACCCTCCTCTTTAGTGGGGTTTCTTGTTCCTGGCACTCATACTAGTAGCTACATTCTCTTCAGTTTGTGTTGATACAGAATGACAGGGCCCTACAATGTGTCCATGACCCCTTTGAAATCCATCAGTCTGGGGCATGATGGTGTGGGTTAGTAGTACTTTTCCCAAAAAAATAACCCATGATGTTTTTGTTGGTGTAATAACCCATGAACCCACACACCAATGTTCTTGTTGCGGGTTAGCCCCCATAAATGACACACAAATCTGTTGGGATTTGTATGTTCAAACCCCAAAAAAATAATTACTTAAAACTAAAATATGTTATTACATACTACTTGTTTCTTCTCCTGTAACCCAGATCACTAAAAATATGATGTGGTTTTGTTGGTGTGGGTTAACCCACAAGTTCATGCTGGATTTGTGGTTTCTTTTGTGGCTTATTTTTCACCTCAAAAAAGGATTTACTGTTTCCTACTACCACCATGACTCTTCCTCTACGTACCCCCAATTTGAATTTTCTTAATTTTTCAAGAGTTTGTTCTCTTCTATTTTTCTCTAGAATCTCTGTAGAATCAAGTACAAATTCTAGTATGTGGCAAAAAAGTAATTATTTCCTTCCTTCTTCTTTTGGGTTGGTGTGCACCATGTGCTGCACCATAGGTGTTTGAAATGCCTTCTGTTTTGGTCATTTTCTTATGACGAGTTGTTCAGCATTGATTTAAAGTTAGGAATAACAATACCATTAGTATTTCTTGGTACTACTATCATAATCAAGAAGCAATCTGATTGGCTAGTAATTTTGTGAATGACTGGTTTGATTTAGTCATAGATTTCCATTCTTGAGTTAAGAAAAAGTGGATTTATCTTTTGACTACTAATATAAATACTTTTTTGACTAGTTAGAATTTGTGTTTGCCTACTTAGAATTTTGTTTACTAGCTAGTTTGAATAGTTGCAACGGATACGTACGTAATGCAATACAGTAATAAGAGTACGTACGTACGAAGCTTCAAAGAAAGGAATGAAGGGACATACGGTACCTAAACACACTACTAAGAGTACACGTATTTCGTGCAATAGTACTTTGAATGACTCTATTTTCCTGATAGCCTTTACTCTAAATTAAGGGCCAGATATGGATGTAAAATGTCTGGCTTAACACCTGCGGCGCAGGTGGCAACGTTTGGCAACATGAGAAAGGAAAAAGTTGCCAAGTTTCAGGACCATGGTTATGGTACAAAATAAGCTCTCGAACTCATCCAGATGGCTACGTACGGTTCTTATCCCCTGATTCGTATGTTCTCTTCACTACAAGTACTTGTTGATACAGAATGACAGTAGCAGCACAGTTAATCTGACAGATGTCACGCGACCAAAATTCGGTACAAAATGAGAACTCGAAGTCATCCAGATGGCGATAGTTATTGGGTGATTCCCGTTACTCTAGATCTCTAAATTTTTGGTCTGTCAGTCCATCAGAATTTGGAGTTTTTGACTCTAGATTTAGAGTATTTAGAACCGGTCGAACCACCCGGTTCTAAATACTCTAGATTTAGAGTGGAACCCACGAATAAAATATTTTCCAGTCATCCCTTGAAAGACTTAACACACGTATCGAAAATTTGTGCCTCTTTTTAGTCAGCACGCGCGCCTATTTTTAGAGTATAGTTAAGATTCCAAATTCCGGAAAAGACTGGCATCGAGCTGGCATCCTCTCAGTCTGTCCATTGAATGTCTTGATTCCCGTTACTCCAGATCCCTAGATTTAGAGTTTTAGAGATCTAGAGTAACGGGAATCACCCATTAGTTCCTTCTCCAATTACGGTACCGTAGCTTATGGTACTTATTGCTGTGGGTTGTATGCTCGTACCGGTATGTAATGGCATGATCTTCGATTTTTATTCAAAAAAGGTTATGTTTTCTACGGTGTGTTTGCGAGTCAATATGAGGAGTATCTTTAATGAGAATATCAGTGGGATCTCTCGTATTCTACCGTGCCTAAGTGTTCAGGCACAAAAAAGAAAGCAGCAAAAGCAAAACCAGAGTTGTTCAAAGTATTTGATTTTGTTGACAAAGCACCATGGCTGAAACTTCACCCACGCCCGTTGCAGCTCCGACCAAGAAATTAACTTGGGATGAGTTCTACGAGAAATCAGAAAATGCCAACAAACTCATGGATCGGGTTTGGTATTGCATTGCCTGTTCCGAAAAAGACGTCGGAAACCAAACGATTTTTTGGGAACACTGGTACTGGAAAGAAGGAGAAGACAAGAAAGATCTAAGCAAGACTACTGTAAAGGCATGCAACCATACGTTGACAATCGATGCTGAAGGAAAGGAACTCGACTACCCGATCTGGCCACTCAAGTTCACGAAAAAATCGATGAAAATGTACCCCGCAATCGACCTTAAATGCTGCGTTATAGCTCCGGTTGGCTTGTCTATGCAGCCCGTCGCATTTCCAACGAACGATTCACGCGTAGAGTTCCGTGTTGATTATTGTGAGACGATGGGCAAAAAGATGTATTTCATCTTTGTCCTGGACCCGAACATTTCGGAGGAGGACAAGAAAAAGAACTTCGATAGATTGGAGAAAGAAAACGGTGTCCTTCGTGAATGGTTCCACAACGTGCAATGGGCCAAAAACTACAAGGTCGGTTCCACAGGAGATCCGGATATCAATCCGAAATAAAGATTACGGAGTTATATGGTCAGTCGAAGGGCAGTTGAAGCGGAATAGGCATACGAGAGCCCGATCGAATTTTTGTGTGCATGGAATGATCATAGATAGCTTTATATGGCAATTATCTATGACTATAATACAGTGACATTTAGTTGGGATTTTGAATTGCTTAAATTGTATCATATTATTTAGTTGTGTCAGCAAGAGACTTATACGCTACTTTAGTGGTCATTGCGCACTCGGTTTTCCGATTATAGTTCTTACAATCCTCGTCTGAGGAGCAGTAACGTTGTTCCGAAGGCTCGAGGTGCGGACGACAGAATAAATAGTCGGGTTCATTCCGTTGTGTCGATTCATATATTGTTCCTCGTGCGATAAGCAAGCGACAGGGTAAGTTGTCTTTCAATTTCCTTTCCTGGAGATTGGTTTGGTGGAAAACGGTCAATGCATCATCGTACCGATTGTATCCCAAGTAGTAATATTTGCATATCGACAGAAACTATACGTGTGGGTGCAATTCTTATGAGAGAAAACGTGAAATCTATCATTTAGCAGCATTTTATCAAAATTAGCAGAGCCTGAACATCCGTTTTCTAATGCTCTTCTTTGGTTTTTCTCAACAAAGTTTATGTTGGTACCTGCGCAGGAGTAGTTGTCACAGTATGCCAAAGGAAGGTCTGGATTTTTTTAAGTGAGTACAATCTCKCTGTGGATCGCATTCTTGCTCGTCGGACTCCGTGTCGCTTCTTGTGAGCGAGATGGTGGGTCGACTACTTTTTATCGATTTGTCGAATATACTTCAGTGCGTAACAGGGAAGACAACATGTCGGTTCATCACCGAAGAAAATCTCTGTCTCATTCTCTGTTTGTCATGGCGAAGCTTGATGCAATTATCAACGACTCTGGTTTGCAGCCTTTCATTTTCGTATCTCCCGGAGTTTACAAACAGGTTCTTTGGTCGAACGCATTCCGTTTCCTCGTGAATGATGTCTTGTTGGCATACGAATCACTACGATGCAATTATGAGAGTGGTTATACTTCAATCGTATAATCATAGATCCTACTCCACGTGCCGGAGTTGATTCACGTTCGCGATCCCATGCTAGGTGTCTTTCTTCTGTTTCAGATCATTCTTCAGTTGCTTAGGTATCAATATGTCCTCGTTTTCCTTCAGAAATACACACCAGTCACTCCAAAGGCTCCTCTGCGTGTAGTCTAATGGCGTGGATCCTCGCTTGTCTGCAATCAACAACAAGTCAGGACAAGCCATGACAACAATTTTAACAACTTCAAAATTGGGCTTAATCGTCCAACAAGCATCGTGAGCGGGGGTTTTCCCATAATCGTCTTTAACCGCAAGAGAGACCCGTGCCTCGTCCACAAGAAATCGCAGCACCTTCGCCAGCCCCCTCCGACAAGCCGAATGAATTATTGATTCTCCAAAACGATTGCAAACCTGAAGAGTCTGCCCCTTTGAATTCATGGTTCGGAGTGCGTCCACATCCTCACTGCGTACAGCAGCTACTATATCCATAGTGTATCCGGTAACATTCGCTTGCCCCATTTTGATGAAAAAGTCACCGAGCTCTTCGCCCTTCTTTACACTAGAGCATAAACCATGTTTCTCCAAAATTTTTGAATAGACCTGCCTTGGATCTTCTTGTTTCAATGCTTCCGTTGCTGGCCCAACGGTTGATTGTACAGTAGCAGATTGTAATGAGTTCGTTTTGCTGTCACCATTGCTTGGGATTTCTCCAACCACTAATTCAGCGTTGCGTATCCGATTCGCGAGGAACGCCGGAAGGGCTCCGTCCGCTGCCGGTCGCAAAATGGGTGCCGAATCTGCCCTTGTAAAGTCCTCTTCTTGGTTCGCGGAGGAGTTCGTTTTAATCTGTTGATTCAGCAGTACCGAAGAACTGAATCGACGCATGTTGGTTTTGGGAAAGAAATTGATTTTATTTTTGTTCGTCTCGCCTTCGTTTTCAATCTTTACGCGTAGATACCTCGAATTGATATCAAATTCATCCTCGTCACTGCTGTCGCTATAATCTTCGGTGGAGTAGCTCTCTGTTGCATCGAGTCGATAAAGTTCACCCCAGTCCTCTTGTTGTATATGTTTGTTTTCACTTCCATCCAAACTTGTTGGATCGGAACCTTTGTCATCGGGTTGGTTTCGCTTACTCATAATAGACCAATGTTTTATTCTTCCCTCTTCGTTTTCTATGCTATGAATATAACTAGTTGTAGTGGTCTCAACAGAACTACAAGCAGATGCTTCGCATGTGATGGCATCTTCTTACACGGAACGCTGGGTGGAAGATCTCATGCAACGGTATGAGAACGACAGATCTGCCAACAAACTCTTCTTTTAAGTGTAGAATAAAGTGTTGTTAAGTAACAGTACGGTACAGCTTGTCGGGGCAAGCTCCTCTCTCACCAAATTCGACTTGCGGGAACAGTAGTAATCTCATATTTCAGTGGCTACCATGCGAGCAGATGTTGCTGAGGATGTTCAGACAATGACATCGGCGGCCACTACTGTCACATCGTTGCACACACACGAACGCCCAAAAAAAGTATTCTGATGCTGCCGTGGTTATCGGATGACACATCAGAAAATGGGATTTTACTGCGAATTAAAGCCGTGCAAACTGATTGTGGTAATTACGAAGTCGAAATCCGAGCGTCATCCGCAACACATCGTCAATCGTAAAAACAAAAGCCAAAAATTGAGAAGACATGAGACAGAAAACCGAAGTCCACAGGTAGATGGTACTCGTATGTATGTATCGTGGGTTGGAGAGGTATCAACGTGCTTAATTGTAATGTTGTCAATTGTGTTGACGATTCTCACATGCTGTAGTGAAGAGCAGGCCAACCGTACAGCCTAACTATTAAAACCTCAATCTGATACTAACCATGAAAACCTAACAAAGTGATTGACAGTATGAGTCTTAGTTGTACTACTAGTACTACTAGTACTAGTACTACTACGTCACACAAACCTGTACTATGGTTTTTTTTTT